AAAACGTGTAGGATACCCTATGCCTAAACCCAGCCGTTTCAGAAATATTTGACAGGTGTAATGGTTTACAATAACCTTTATAACTTTTTTCGTGTAAAAGATGCTCATTTACTTTTTGGCATGCAGAAAGACCATAAGGTGAGCTACGCTCTACAGTTTAAAAAAATTCAATAATAGTATACCAAGGGTTCCATTATTGACGTTACATTTTGTAAACCTCAAATCGCGAAAACCTGCTTAAGTCAAACGGAACACCCCATATTTTTTTAAATCAAGTTATGTAAAATTATATTCCTTTTTTATATATATAAGCATTGTGGGGGTATAATTTACAACTTAAGTATTTGCGATTTTCTTAGAAATTCAAGAATTTTTTTAGTAAAAATTTTATCAAATTAGCCATGATTAGAAACAATAAGTAATGTCAGTCATTTCCTTATGTCAAAAAATGCCACCGCGTTTAAATTACACCCACGAATATTTTTTTTAATTTGTTTATTATTTATGGAGAAAGTGATAATAATATCAAAAACTTGGAGTAGTACACTTGTTACTAGATATCCACAAAAAGGGAAAATAACACTAAACACTGTAACATGCCTATTAATTGGATAGAAGACACTTTGCATAAACTAAAATAGCTCAGATAAAATCAACTAAAAATATGATTCCATTTTAATTTAATAATTGTTCAAAATTCCGCCCTCGAACCTCTACACATTTTTCGCACCTTCGGATTGGTTCTTTATGGGTAGCTCTTCTAATTGAATCCTGTGATAAGTTTTGAAATACATTTCTTACTCTCTGCATACAATCTTCAATAGTTGTTAATGGGCTCTCATAAACTTTATTTTTAATAGTTTCCCAAATATCTAAAATTGATAAATCGGGTGAGCGAAGAGGCCATAGGAAGGCCCATTAATGGCGATCCATTGATCGTAAAAAAGTTTCTTGTAAAAAATTATTTATCAAATACGCGTTATGTGGGGGGAGCACCGTCGTGCTGATAAAAAATATTTCTATGTTCGATGAGAGGTAAATTTTCTAAATAGTTCTTATTAAAATTTTGTGAAATATTTAAATATTTTTCACCCAAAAAAGAAAGACAAAAACAAAAAAATTAACTATGCATATTAACAGAAGAAGAAATCTCTATAACTTACTGTTTAAATTTTCCTGATAATATATAATGCCACTACTCTATCGTTTCTTATGGCAGAGTAAACATTAAACTGCCAACTTTCTTGAAAATTTCGCTTCCTGAACACATGAGAATTCGAGTCACTCCAATAATACGAATTGTGTCGATTAAAAAGTCCATTTTTGGTAAATTTAGCTTCATCTGACCATATAATATTTTCCAAATAAGAATCGTCGCCTACAGCCCTTATTAGAATAAATTCACAAAAATTTTCTTTTAATCGTTGAACCATTTGGAACGAAAACGGGTAAAATGTATGTTTAATTAAGATTCTGTTTACTGAATCCTTGCATAGTCCCGATTCCAGAGCAGCTTGTCTTAATGACATCATTGGAAATGCATGAAAATATCCCAGAATTACTATTTTTACGTTTTCGTCATCAACAATAGGCTTCTGCTTTTGAATTCTTGCATTGACAGAGCCATAGTTTTTAAAATTATTCAGCGTGCGTTTTACAGTGTTAGGAGACGGTTTCCGGTTTTGTGGATATCGAGTAGCAAATATACTACAAGTTCTTGATATTACTTTATCACATTCTCATTAAATAATAAACAAATTCAAAAAGTCTTCGTGGGTATAATATAAACGCAGTGGCATTTTTTGACATAAGAGAATGAGTGATATTACTGATTGTTTCTAATCATGTCTAATTTGATAAAATTGTTATTAAAAATTCTTGAATTTCTAAGAAAATCGCAAATATTTCAAAAAGTTGTAACTTAAACCCCCACAATGCTTATATCAGAAAAAAAGGAATTTAATTATACATAACTGGATGTAAAAAAAATACATTTGACTTAAGCAAGTTTGCACGGTTTGAAGTTTGCAATATGTAACGTCAAAAATGGAACACTTGATATACTATTATTGAATTTGTTTAAACTGTAGAGCGTAGCTCACCTTATGGTCTTTCTGTACGTCAAAAAGTAAATGAGTATCTTTTACACGAAGAAAGTTAGAAAGGTTATTGTAAACCATTACACCTGTCAAATATTTCTGAAACGGCTGGGTTTAGACATAGGGTATCCTACATGTTCTTAACTCAGAATTTTATGCTCTTTTCGAAAACCATAAATATATAGGGTATTCCATTTAAAATAAGCAAGATGGTATAGGCTTCCAGTATAACCGGAAGTGCCAGATGCTTGTAATTATTTTAGTTGGATTGACCGCACTGCCATTAATAATTTCCTAAATCATCAAAATTTTCTGGTGCGTACTTTTCCCTATATTGATGCAGTTCCTGGTGAGACACCAGTTTTAATACATTAAGGGCAAAAATATTCTTTAAAGTATTCCAACAGTTCGCGTTCGAGCTGGTTAAGTCAACCAGAATAAGCTTTTAGTTTATCCAAATATGGAAATAAAATGATTCAAAAGTTAGTGTCTAAAATTGCTCCTTAGATCCAGGTTCATAATCATTTTAGAGTGACTTTAAAATTTAAAGTTCCTCACAACAAAAATTAAAGTAATAAATAATTAATAATATATTATTACGTATCATTATTTACTTATTTTAATAACTGGGCTTAATGTAAACTTGTCAAAATTATTAAACTTCAAAAAATTTTTATTATAAAATATAATAAGCTGTTAGCTGTTAGTTTCAAACAATTGTCAATAGAAGAGTTCAAAAAATATTTGCAGTATTGAAACATATGATATGAACTTCTTATGAATTTGGGACTATTTCACCAATTCTAATACTAATCCTAAGTTATAAATAAAACTGATGCAAACATTAAATTATTTAACAATATCTTTCAATAATAGTTATTGAGGTATCAAGGACGCAAAACATAAAATTTTGGCCCGCGGAGTGAAGATTTTCACGGCAAGGACCAACGTCGCTCTTGCGCCTGAGGTGCATACTAAAATTGTTTGCATTGACGGGCGCTTTTTACTTCTCACAACTGTTTTAATTATTTTCTGCACAGTTTGACAAATGCATTATTGCGAAATATCAAATTGACAAAAATATGCACTTTATGCTCTATCTTTAAGATTAAAATGTGGCATTTTACGCTCGGGAATGCAAATAATTTAATAGTTAAAGGTTTTTATTAATACAATTTTAGAGACTTCAACGGTGGATTAGGCAACAAACTTAGTGAGAACGAAAAATTAGTTTATAGTTTTATGTATATTGTACTCCACTAATCATTTCATACTAGTTATTTGATGGACGCACCCTATGGGTCATAATCATAAGTAATAATAAATGGATAATCCGATATTTAAGGTTAATAGATGATTAATATATGAATATATTGAACTAAAACTGAAAACAAACAAATAAAATACATATTGATGCAAATTTTTGGTAAGTAATATTCCATGAATGTACAGGGTGATCATTTATAAGTATTTCACTCGATTTCATTGCTTGATTTTTCACCTAGGATAAAATTCCCAAACTATAATATGCATTCTTTTCCTAGAAATCTGAATTCTAAAAGAAAAAACAGTTGAACGTCTAATAAAAAATTATTATAACGGAAAAATACAAAAATTGACACCCTCTATGGTAATGCGGTAATAGGTATGTGACATTCCACTGAATATAAAACTTGTCACACATAATTTTTACTTTTGGTTTAACCGGAAATTCAAGTTTTTTATTTTAAGTGATATACCCTCGATATCTCAATTCTACGATAGCTAGAAATTAAAAAAATATATATATATATAGGTAAACTAGATAAAAAAGTTATAACTGGAAATTATTTTCAAATATACGGGGCGAGCCAAGACGAAATTACAGGATCAAGTGCCTTTTTTTAATGGAATGCTTTGTATAGTGATATACAAAACATTCCATTAAAAAAAGGCACTTGATCCTTTTTAAGCCTCTTTCTACACTCTATTTATTCTTATATTATTATTGACTATCTCTCAACCACTTCGATGTAATGAATTTTTTTTTTGAAATAATGTCATCTGCAGATGCATATTGAAAAAATCACCAAAGACACAATTATGGGTTTTAAGAAAAACTTATGTGAATACTAGTTACGGTACATCTAATTAATGTTTTTGAATCATTTTTACTTCTTAAAAATGTACAGGGTGGACAAAAATTATTTTTCAATTAAGAACTTTTTAAACTGAATTTTCTCAATTTTTTTCAAATGGAACACTCTGTATATTTTTCGACGATGTGATGTAGAAATAAAAACGAACATTTTTTATAAGTATTTTCCTATGGTTAATTGCAACCATTTTCGTTTTATTAAGCAATAAGTACAAAATTCAAGAATACACTTAAAGATAGAGGTTTCTTCAAATAATTCATTAGAAATATTTATAAGTGCTCCACATGTTGCCCATTTTGATTAACACACGTCTCTATGCGTTTTTGAAATGAGGCCATTTAGTGGGACCATTTCTTCCAATACATTGGCTGTCATGTTGGTAGCAGGTCCATTTAATTCTATAGGTACTTTTTAAAAATATCCAATGGATTCTAATCTACAAAAATTCATGATCCTAAAGATTGTAGAAATATTATACTTGAGAGATTTGAATTAATTATAATGCAAATTTGAAATAAATCATTGTCGCTCACGCACAATTATATAAGTAGCTGCTTACGAAGAAAAAAACTTTTTGCATTTAAGCTACTTGTTCGTAATTTTTGATACCAGGTAGCTGTTTTTCATATTAACTGATACCTGATTTCACCATAACGGATTTTAAGACGGGTAATTAGGTTCTTCAGGTTCGTACGTTCAGTTCCGTCTAAGTATCTGAATGTTACCCCGTTAATAACCGCGCTTGAATTCAACTGACATTTTTGACTTTGTGGTCGAGTGGTAAGGGCGCTTGTCTCTCACCCTGGAGCTCCGGGTTCGATCCCCGGTTGAGGAACTAGGATTTTTCTAAACCAGAAATTGAGTATGTCCATTGTCTCTAAATGTGTAACTTCTCCCACACAAGGTACCCTTGAGTTAGCTTCAGGAATACAGGGGGTTGTATTACCTGTGGTGCGTATAATAACATTCAAGTTACTTATTGAAACCGGATTTTGGACTCCCATTGAAAGCCCTTGGAGTTGCATAAATGATTTTAATATACAGCGATTCATTATTCCCGTTACATTCAAGTTTAAATAACTTATATACAGAAAGGGACATAGCTCAACTATATATTACTCCTATAAAAATATGAAGATTTCTTAAACTATGCTGCACTGAAGAGGAGCATTTACGCTGAAACATCGTTACCAGCAGATTTTTCGTTATTTATGAGATTTAAGGTACTACAATTTCTTTTTGCTAAAATATCCTTATCTTGCGTGATTAACACGTGTGTTATTTTTTATATCACACCCTATACAATATCAATATAGACAGTATTTTAAATGTCAAGTCTAATTGATAGTGTTATGATTGACAAGGTCCAATTCTTAATAAAAATAAATGACTTACCTAACATTTTACTTAAATCGGCGTTATGGAGATCTGGATTTTCATCGGCTAACTTCTTTCTTTCCACTTTGGCCCATACCATGAACGCATTCATGGGTCTACGTATCCTTGCTTCCTTCGACACTTTTTGTCCCTGTCCTCCCATTTTAGGCACAAAATTAGTCCTTTGGGCATACACTGGTATAGTTTCTGAATAACTCGTTCTAATATATTCGTTACCACTATATCTATTTCCGTCATAGGGTCTATAATCGTACACTGGCTCAGTCATATTACCCCACATGTCTTGGGATTTAGGTAGAACTTGCGGGAGCACTTGAGATGCTGGAATCATCTCCTCTTGGTATTCGTACCGGTATTGCGGAGGAAGAAGTGGAGATGGGGTATTAGAAGGGGAAAGACAGTTTGTATAATGACTATTTGTATTAGGTGAAGGCGTAGCATCCTCCATTATCCTGTAACGAAATATTTAGTATAGTAGTAGTATTTAATAGTTCACAAGTTGGACGAATATATTAACATAACGCACACCATCAACATGAATGGTATGTTCTGTTGTACCAAACATCAGCAATAAAATAATGTTTTATGAGGGTGCTCTTTTTTCGCAAAGTTTCATTTTTAAATACTTTTTCTTATTGGTTTTTGTTTAATTTATTTGGTACTTTATAGCAAAAAGTACCTTAAAAGACAATACTACTAAAGCTGGGATTCACTTTAATTTTCTAATCATATACCCACTTTTTATTCATTGTTTATTATACTTTATTATCAATAACTTCAATAACATTTTATCAAATTGTGTTTTATATTTACTGTGTACTTATTTCGTGAGATGTACAGGGTGAACCCACAGAATTACCACCCTCCTTTTCTCTGTCATTTTTGGATTTAGAAAGACGTTTCAAAAAGTGGGAATTTTATGAATTTTTTTACAATGGCCTCACTGAATATACACGGCGTTTCATAAAAGTGTGATCAACCCAACTTATATAATTTAGTTTTTTGAAATCTACGTTTTGTTACGATTCCAGTGTACATTTTATTTATACATATTATATATATATATATATATATATATATATATATATATATATATATATATATATATATATATATATATATATATATATATATATATATATATATATATATATATATATATATATATATATATATATATATATATATATATATATAATGAAATATGTTATTTGTAACGGTCTCAGAATACAAAGTAATGTTTAAATATGTATATAAAAATATATATACATAAATAGTGGGGATGCAGTTATGAAGTGGCTAAATTCAAATAAAAATCTCTGTTTTTTATCAAGCTTTCGGAAAAATTTTATTCCTTTCTCAAGATATCTAACAGTATAGTAGGTACATTATAATATTAAAAAATTATTATTAATTATTATAATACCTACAAACGTGATTAAATAGATGAAAACGAAAACATGGCAAACAAATTGTTATAAATAAAATGTGTAAAGATCAGGAAAAAAAGGTAAAAAAAGTAAAATATGTCAATTTAGACAATTTTAAATATATATATATATATATATATATATATATATATATATATATATATATATATATATATATATATATATATATATATATATAAAAGTAGTAACAAAACTGTTACCAAGGATGTTAAACAATTTTTCATAAAAATATATCAAGGCAACCATAAACAACTAGTAAAATTTTCATCTATTTAATCACGTTTGTAAGTATTATAATAATTAATAATAATTTTTTTAATATTATAATGTACCTACTATACTTTTAGATATCTTGAGAAAGGAATAAAAATTTTTCCGAAAGCTTGATAAAAAACAGAGATTTTTATTTGAATTTAGCCACTTCATAACTGCATCCCCACTATTTATGTATATATATTTTTTATATACATATTTAAACATTACTTTATATATATATATATATATATATATATATATATATATATATATATATATATATATATATATATATATATATATATATATGATATATCCACATGTGATCCGAACACCTCCAGTCCTCAGTCATCAAATCCCTTCCATATCTGATCTATTCCCTTTCTACACTAAGTTTATTGTAGATAGAACAAAAACAGTGTTGCTAGATGCCTGGTAATTGCCAAAATCTACAATTTGAAATTTTAACTGGTAGTTGTTAATAGAGCTTCTAATAATGGCATAATCTACGATACTTTTTTGAGAACGTCACTTCTTTTATAAAATTATTTACACATTGAGAAATAACAAATTGTTTCGTGTAAAGTGCATAATATACAATGAATACTGTTCCATTTTACTTTGCGATGAACATTTGGCGACATCTAGTTAATAGTAGGGCGGCATACGAGCCTTTGTTCATGCAGCTACTCTCATTTATTTTATAATTATAAAATAAATGCTACACTGCACGAAAAATGAGAGCTCTACCCCCCTCTTTGCAGTGAGTGCAGACTGCATGTGGACGTGAAATTTTTCAAAAGTTAACGTAATTTAATCAAAACCAAAAAGATTAAACCTATGACCAAAAATCAATTAATGACGAACATAGTAAATGGTATTTTAATAAGTTGCGTGAAGGAATCATAAAATTTCATAATATACAAAAATATAGACGAAAATGAAGATGAAAATATCATTTCTGAAGTCGAACGTGACAACCAATTGTTATAATTTGAAAAGTTTCTATACAATATACTTACTTTTAACTGTTTTATTTTTGATTTATTTTTTTTATAATAATGTTTTTGAATATTGGCGTATTACTTGAGGTATTTGGTAATTTTTCTTAAAATCTGGAAATTTCATTGCTACTTTCTGATAATCACACTTTCATAATCTGGCAACACTGCAATAAACAATTTTGTGATCACGTGGTGAACTGTTCTCACGTTGCTGTTGTCTCATTTCTTTTATTATTGCGTCAGCCGTTAGCGTGGTAAGTTAAACTGGCATTTCCCTTAACCTAAAAATGTATGTTTATACAACTGAAGAAAAAGTGCAAATGATCAAGTGGTATTATGGCGGTAATACTGCTGAGGAAGTTATCGGGCGATTCATTTTTACATTTGAAAACCGTTCTTCCCGACGGTTCAAACTGTATGGAACATCATTCATAAATTTGAGTCTGTGCAAATTGCAGTAAATGTAGTCATTTAAATTACGAAGACGAGCCTACAGTTTACTTAAGCGAAGATCGGGAAAGGCGGGAAACTAATGTCTGTAGTTTCGCTGAGGTAAATGCACCTTGTTCGAGTAGACAAATCTCGCAAGAAGCTGATGTACAAGAGCGAACAGTGCGGAATATTCTGAAACGAAATAAGTACCACTGCTACAAAATTATGACTATCTAAGAAATTTTTCCTGAAGACTGTACGGAACGAATGGATTTTGTGAAACCATGATGGAAAATGTTAATGAAAACGAAAATTTCATCCATCTTTTTCCATACATGGCCGGCATAGTCCTTCTGTAGTTCGATATTGGTCCAGCGAAAATAAACATTCGAGTGTGCCATTACGTACTCAATATCCACAAAAAGTAATTGTTTGGGCCGGCATTTTAGGTGATCATGTCGTTGGTCCTATTTTCATTGACGGTAACTTAAATGCCGACAAATATTTAAAAATTTTGCAGAATCAGATTATTTCGGCTGTTCAAGCTCTTGACGTTAACTTTGGGGAGATTTGGTACCAGCAAGACGGCTGTCCTGCTCATAATGCAAAAAGGGTACAAGAGATTTTAGACAACACTTTTCCCGATCGTCTTATAAGTGAAAGAGGCACAATAAAATGACCACCAAGATCCCCCGACTTGGCGCCTAATGATTTTTTTGTGGGGATATGCAACATCGCAAATTTATAAACATGAACACTAACGAGCGCGTGACTTGCAAGAGTTACGTGCTAAAATTGTTGTCAGCCTACAGAGTGTGACTCCTGACATGGTTTTAAATGTCAGGTATGAATTTTATCGCCGATTAGGGCTTTAGGAGAATTTACCCCGAGTGGCCAATTCACTATCTCTGTCTTTGTTATTCTTATTAGTTTTAGATAAAGAGAATATTTGCAAATCGCTAGAATTTTCCTAAACACCTAATATCTGTACAATAAACTGTGTGTGGAAAGAAGGGATATAATAGGGCGTGCCCTCTTTTACTTCACAAAGAGAACGTACAATGAGGCAACACTAATACATAATTCTCTTTCTCTCCCATGCATGACTTTGCTATTTTTATCCTTTATGCACATACACAAACAGGCACTCAAATTAAACTTTTTCCAATAGTGTATATACATATATATATATATATATATATATATATATATATATATATATATATATATATATATATATATATATATATATATATATATATATATATATATATATATATATATATTTTTATATATA